TTTATTATNCCNCCTCCTCTCTCTCTCTCTCTCTCTTTCCTCCCCCCATCCTTCACCCTTTACACCCGATACTTCCGTCAATATCGCAATTTCCAAACTCGTGGATCTTCCTAACGCGCATCTCCATTCGCGCTTCCACACCCGAAAAATTCGAGGTTTACACATTCCTCCCTTCTTCTTTCTTGATCTCAGCCTCGTCTCGAGAACGAAGAAAACCGCGAAACATTCTGGTGGCGAGAAACGAGGGAGGATCGAAGGGTGAAATAAGGGATGGAAATAAAGAATCTGCTCGTCCCGGTGGAAAAATACACTGTAGCCAAGTAGAGGTGCTCCCAAGTGAAACCCACCCCATCCCCAAGCGATGATGAAACTCGCTCCTCGATTCTGAAAAATTCCTATCCCGTATCGTCTCGTGTCGTATCCCCTCGAACGATAATTCTTAAACGCGCCCACCGATCCTTGAGAAGAAGTATCTCCTCACCTTCTCCCATTTTCTTTCTTTCTCGCGTAACGAGAAGCGAAGAAATACGGAAGCGGAAGGGACGGGTCTGAACGTGGCGAAACCTCCTCGCTGAACAGGACGCGTGTATCCAACCGACTCGAGCAGGGGTTGGGAGCAATTCTCACGAAAACAATGGCGAATTCAAGAAAACGTAACTCGAGCGAGGCAATTAGCGCTTCCTCCTAATTTCTCACCTTGCTTTCATCCCGCGAGTCGCCCCTTTCTCGCGGCGGGTTTGTTCGATACGACTCGTATCGGGAGAAGGGAGGCTATTATTATCGACAGAGAGAAGGGAAAAAAAAGGGATCGAGGGATCGAGCGTTAAAAGCAGGGATGCTTTCGGCTAATTGCCAGATCGACAATCGACTAAGTGGACGATCGAAAACGAAGCGGGGGAGAGAAGAAAGTGGATACGGGTCGGAGTTCGATGAGAAACTCGGGGAGCATCGCGTTAACGTTCAACCGTTTTCAATCCTGTTTCTACGAATGCGTGCGTGTTTTTTTTTCTCCCTCGAAAATATCGATCGACGGTCGTTGGAGCCACGAACAAACACGATCGTGTTCGACATATTCGGGGATCGATCGATTATTTACTCGGGTGATTAATTACCCGTTAGACGCCGTCCGAGTGAATCGAGCGAGCGATATCAGCGAGTGGAACAAAGGAGGGAGGGGGAAGGGAAGAAGCGTGATTTATTATGCTTCTCAACCGTGCAAACTTTCGAGGACAATGGAGCAATATCGTCGCAGGAACAAGGGACGAGCGGAGGAAGAGTGGAGGAGTGTACACGCGTAAAGAACGAAAAGCTCGATAGTTTTTTTTTCTTTTTCAACGACAGTTTCTCTCGAAATCTTCTATTCGATGCTCCTTGTCGATCGATATCCGAATCCTTGCCTCTCGGCGTCGAGAACTTCGCCCGACGACACCCCTCGTCATTTCCCGCTCCGATTCTTAATTTCCAGAATCTGTCGGGCCGTCCCGTCGCCGCTAAACTTTCGAAACGATCGATCCTTCGTTAACTTGTTCGCCTTTCGCTCGACAAATACAACCGCGAATCGATTTTCGTTCTCGAGAGATGAACCGCCCTGCTGCTGATCCTTTCACAGGAGGAGGAGGAGGAGGAGGAGCCGCTTAAGCTGGAATCGGCGAGTAGGAAACTAAACCGCGACTTAACGCGATTAAAAAGTTGGCGATCCGAGAGAAACGAAATTTCATCGTTTCGGACGTCATCTGGCAGGCATTTGCATAGCAACTCCTGTTAATTCGAGTTACGAACGAAAGAAAAAGCGAGATTGGAAAGGAGATGGTAAATTCGCTCGAAAAACGAGAGAATTTATTCGAGGCGAATCGATTCCTGGGGAAAACTCGAGTCGGTCGTGCTTGCCTTCGCAAGTTGGAGAACGTTCGGCGACTTGTGTCCGTTCGACACAAGTTTTCGAAAGCGTTCCGCAGAATGACCAGCCGCCCTTTTGAGGCCAGCTGCCAGCTTGTTCTGAAAGTTGGGGAGGGGAGGGCCGTCTAAATAGGCGGCCGGGCATCGACAGTTTCGCAACTCGAGTGAAGCTTGCCGACGATAACGGTGGCGGCGACGAACACAAGTATCGAGAGGCGAAGTTTGGAAAGCGGGTGGAAAGAACAGGATAACCGGACAACTCTCTTCGTGTCCCTCCTCTCTCCGCTCACTTTCCCACCTCCCGTCGAAACTACACCGATCTTCTACACCAGTTTCGTCGAGTATAAAAACCCTCGTCGCTTTTCCCCTCCTCGCCTCTTCTCTCATATATCGAGCGAGGATGATCCGTTCAACGAAACCGACCCGATCCGGGAAACTTCTCAACTTTGAGGAATTCGCCATTTCTTGAAACGAGGGTGATCATCCCGAACGAGATTTTAGATATCCTTTTCTTTATCGCAAGAATTGAATTGCCCACCGTGGACGAAACAACCGAAAGAAAGTATGGATAGAATGGATGGAAGATCCGGTAGAAGAATAAAGACTTATTCGTCATTCCGTTGTGGTTACGCCACCTTAACCTCTGACTTTTGCGGAGGAGAAAGAGGAATACAAGTTATCCATCCGAATTACGGAAACGAATCACCGAACGAAATCTAACTTTCCCCGCGAGGGGGAACCGAGGGAATCATTTTTCATTTTTAAACGTCCGTTTAACGCGATTCCTCCTCCCCTGCGATCGTGCGCGTACGACATACGTCGCTGGAAGGGAAAAGAGAGAACGCTGTGATGGTGGAATTTCGAAACGATAGGACGATAACGAGGATCGAATTAAAACGCTAACAAACGACTCGCTCGCTGATAAATCAGCGTGGGTAAAATAGTGGAGGAGGAGGAGGAGGAGAAAGGCGAGGCGAACAGAGGGCTTACGAGATTCAACGGCTTTTATGAAGCCGTCGCTTTCTCGGTGAATATCATTCTCTCTCGAGCGTCACTTGCACGTGTTCCTCTCTCTCTGCATTATCCATACGATGCGAGACGCTTAAACGTTTTCGTCCCACTTCTTTTTCCACTCCCGCCCGATCTTTAATAGAATCTCTTCATCCGGAAAATTGTTTATTTTAAAAACTTCTCTCGTCACGGATGGAACGGAACGCGCGATTAAGAGAACTCGTACGCCTTATCCATCCCTTTTCCCCCCCCCGTCGCATTCTTCGTTTTCTTCACGAATGAACACGGCGACTCTCGTTTCATCTTCCATGATGGAGCGCGCTTTCTCGTTGCTTTTAGCGAGCGGATGCAACCTCGCTGCACGATGCTCTCCCGTCGAACTTTGCCTTCCTCCCTTTCTCTCTTCCTCTCTCAGTGACTAACGCCGGAAGAAGATCGAGATTGTCTCGTCTCACGGCTGAGAAAACGAAACGAGCCGCGCGCGCGAAACCTGGAAGAAACGATCGGGGAGAGACGGGAGGAGAAGGGAAGAAGCAATCCGGAAGAGTGAAGTTTATCGCGTTGTTACTTTAACGAAGCATTCTTCGCTTAACGGGGGTTGCAAAGGTAGCAGCACGGGAGACAACTCCCGATCATATTCGCTGCGCAACTTGGCTAATTTCGCGATAACGCGATAATTTCGTCGAATTTCGAGTCACGAGTTTGGATGAAAACGACGAAGCGAAGAGAAGGACGACGAGACAAACGAACGAGTTCGATCCATGATCGCGCTGATTTAAACGAAACCGTTTAATGGCGCTCGTCTAGAAAAGCAGGCAACGTTCTAGGAATTGGAACGATAACTCTCTGTTTCGTTCTCGTCGACTAGTCGAGATCGTTGCTTCGCGATCGTTTCGAGTGTATCCTCCCTGCGTTTTATTCCCAAGGATCGTAACGGGGATCGTTTTGGGGGTGAAAAGGGGGCGAAGAGAAGGGGGAAAAATGAAACAACGGTCGATCTCTTCTCTTTCGTTTCGAGAGAAGTGTCAACCGTGAAATCGAATTTTCTATTAGTAACCCTATCTGGAAAAATCTGACGTCAAATTTGAAGAGCGATATTTCCCCCTCTCTCCTTGTCGCGACACTTCTCGATTGAAGAACTTATTGGAAATCTCTTATCTGCGAGAGGAAAATACGGATTCCTCGCAAACTTTTTAGACGAATGCCTGCCTCCCTCCCTCCCTCCCTGCCCACGTTGCCACAGGATTATTAGATCGCGAATTCGAGGCGCGAAAACCGGCGGAACGAATGGCGGTAACGGAGGATAGAAAAGTAAGATCGATGTGTGGAGTGAAACTCGGCTGGTATCCAACCTATGAAACTCGCGCGTTACGTGTCCCGGGGATTGGAATTCCCTTGGAAACAAAGCGTCTAAGGAACCCGTCTCTCGTGAATTTCAATCCGATCGAAACGGGTGTCGTCGCAATAACTGTCACGAATCACGCATTCGCGAGCACGCTACGAATGTGGAGAGGATTTTTATTCCGCCGATCGCCTGACGACCGTGCCAATACGATCCTTTCGGCTGATCCTTCTTCGTATCGATAAGAAAAAAAAAGAAAGAAAGAAAAAATCATCCCTTAATACCAGTCCCTCGAATAACGATCTTCCTAACTAACCGGATCTCGCGTTTAAAGCCTCGTTAATCCGGGCTTTTCGATTCGAGAGAAGTCGGTTAATCCGCGAAATGGCCCGATCGATTTTAACGCGGGCGAAATATCTTTGAAACTCTAACTTAAGAGCGAAGCACTCCACGTTATCGCGGATGGAGGGGGAGAGAAAGAGGGGAGAGAAAATGGTCGCGAAACTTGGCCCAATTATCCCTCCGCGAACTGGACTGGTTCGCAGAGTATCGTGTTGGAGATGAATCGACTCGGGATGATGGTGGATTTGTCGCACGTGTCCGTGCCCACGATGCTGGTCGCCATGAAGACGTCGAGGGCGCCTGTCATCTTCAGCCACAGCAGCGCTCACGCCCTCTGCAATTCCTCGCGAAATGTGCCTGACCATGCGCTGCGACGTTTGGTGAGTTGTCCTCCGATTTTTAGAGGAAACCGGATTATCCCTCGATCTATCCTTTCTTTTTTTCTTGTTCTTTGTTTCAGGCGCAGACAGATGGTATAGTTATGGTATCCTTCTATCCCCATTTTATCAGCTGTGGCGAGAAATCGACGTTGGAGGACGTGGCCGGTAAGAGTAACCTTTTCCAGCAGTTAGTTAAGCAATAAGAATAGGATAAGAAACGATTTCGCTAATATGATTGGCACGTGCGAAATGCTATCCTCGAATACGTCCAGGGTGGAGTAGCGCTTTTATCCTTCGATAAACTTCCTCGATTAATTCTTTTCCGCTCTAATCAAGAGTTGCCCCCGGCTTTTATCCCACGTAACTGCGGCCCACCGTCACGATCGCCGTCTCATATTCCAGGATAAAAGCTAATCGAAGGGGACGCTTGAATCGCGTCGAAATTGTTCCCTCCTCCCCTCCCCGCTCCCTTCTTTTTCTCTCTTAATACGGTTTTCCACCTCCGATGAGCCTGCCTCTTTTGCACTTCCACCATTTGGAGACCTCTCGGGATAAACTCGCCGATAATTTTCTTACACCCGATTCATTCTCGTATTGACTTTCGAATCTTGCGCCATTCGAAGAATCGACTCGAGCAATGAGGAAATGAGGAGAATAGTTACGGGAGAATAATTCGAAATTTCTTCCCGCGATCGAAATATCGATACGAAAAGCGGAAAAGCGCGCAATTTTATAATAATCGATTCCGTTCAAAATCAAGTTTTCCGTTCAAAAATTCCCAAGAGTGAGAGATTTTTGCGAGAAATACACAGTTAAATTAATAGCTTCTCGTTTAAGGGCTGCCGGTTTCTCGAATTCGCGTACGAAAAGCAAAGGGCGAAAGAGTTTTCGGAGTTTGGGCGCGCAGGTAGCCACGTATCGAACGTCGCGATTCGAACTCGGAGAAGGAGAAACGCACGCTTTGAATAAACCTCGCCTTTCCACGCCGTAGAAATGAAATATATCCAAGAGCAAGAGCGAATTTATGCAGCAGCCTGTTCCACGGGGCGCCACGGTTCCATGACTCAAAGAAAAAAAGAAAAAAAGAAAAAAAGAGAGAGGAAAGAAGAAGAAAAAGAAAAAAGGAGAGGTAAAAAAAATAAATAAAAATGTTCATCGAATGTTCGCGCGTGTGCCGTGTCGGGAACGGGCAATTGCGCTTTCATATCCTCGCGAGCCCTTTGTGATTCATGAGACGTAAGAAACTTTGGAATTTGAACGGTAGGAAACTTGGCATTTCCTCCGCCCATGCTCGCGATACAGTTTTCCACGCCGCTCATCGCATTTCCATTGCCTCGATGCGAGCGGGCATTCCGTCTTTAAGTCGAAATTTCCCCGACCTCCTCGCAATTATTATCATCGCTCTCCGGTATTCGTTATTACGTTAAATATAGATCTTTCGCCAGTTCTCGCATCGCGCTCCTCCACCGTCTTCCTTTCGCCGTCTCACGAATCAATTTCCATAAAAATTGTGTCGTTGTACGTAGCGTTCCGTGTTATCGTTGACGATCGTATTCCTCGTCGTTCCACTCGCTATGGAAAATATGAAATCGAGGATTGCCACCAGTTACGCGCGGCGCCGTGTTTAGCGTGACCGCGTCACGGTGTCAAAATCAGAAGACAAATATCGCGGAGACGAGAGAGTGTAAAACGAATAACGTCGCGACGAGTTTCCCCGGGGAACCACGAATTTCATTCGCTCGTTCGGATTTTTCTTTTTTTTCTTCGTATTTCTTTCAACGACTCGCCTGTTTCGCGAGGGAGTCGGACAAATTAAAAGCTAGATGGGAATCGATAGAGCGAAAAGTGGCAACAAAAGATGGGAGAGTTTCGTTCGAACCATTTACTTTCTTGCGCATACTTTTCCTCCCTCTTTTCGTATTCGTTTGGGATCGTTTGACTGATATCCTCGACATTCGTCAATAATTAACTCTTTTCTTACGAAAGAGTTGGCTTTGGAATCATCTGTTCCAATCGCGTGTTCGTTCGTTTCCTTTATCGGATAGAATTATTAAAGATTCTTCTCCTGTATTAATTAAACAACAAGTCGTTCCACAAACAAAATTATTATTACACGGATGGATAAAGGAAGGATCAGGCTCGTGAATCATTCCCAAAAAACGACTCGAAAACGGGAGAAAAGCGGCGATCCGCGCGTTATGAGAAAATTATGCTCCCGTAGAGGAAGCGGCGCGTTAAACGTACCCGTAAGCCATAATTTGGCGCGGTTGTACACGCTTGCCCATTGACGACATTACCCCTCCCCCCCCCCATGATTGATTTCTCGTCGGCCGGTGCTCATAGCGCGTCGGTTACCAACGCAACAATTACCACCGCTTAATATCAAACGATCGGCCACGCGTTTCTCGAATAATGCGCCGCGCGTCAAGCGCATCCTCCGCATCTGCTGCAACTGACGTTTCCACTCAAGGTACGAGGAAGACGGGTCATCGAGCCCATTCCGGGTCAAGTTCGATGGAGCGTGCGTACGAGGCCTATTTTGCTGTGGAACGGAAATATCGAACAGCTTTATTTCCGGTGACAATAGATGATATCTATAAACGCATTTACGAGAAATTTTTCTTCCCTCTACGATTGAACAGAGGAATTCGATAATTTGTGGAATGTTCCAAGCTTCACTTATATACATATTTCGTGTCACAAGTTCGATAACGTTTCCTCCCCAACTTTTTCATCTGTTGCAGCTCACATAGATCACGTGCGAAAGATCGCTGGCGTGGATCACGTGGGGATAGGGGCCGGCTACGACGGAATCAATCTGTAAGTTTTTTCCTTACTTTATTTATTTCATCGGGATTTATTCCCCGCTGTTTATAAAGATCGAATTTCGACGAAAAGTAATTACTGAAATGCTATTTGAAACGAAGATGCGAGAGCAGGTAAATCGGGAAAAGAGGCGAAGGGTAAGCTTTTAACGAACGCGCGGTAAATTAGAGGTTGGAAAGAAACGAAACCATGATAATTTCTTACGAGCCTCCCCTCCCTACATCGGTCACGATTTATGAGGCGCACCCTGGCATAAAGCATGTGCCGTGTTTTTTACGTTCGCTCGAAGCGTTGACCAGCGCCTCGTAAAAACGTAACACCAAGTACCTAGGAAGTAAACCCTACCAGCCGTTTTCTTAACTGCACCCCGCGTCTTCCATCTTCGAAATATACATTTCCTTCGAAATAGTTTCAACACGCGCATCCGCGAGTTCCTTCCAGTTTGCCAGTGTAAAGGCGAGGCGGAAAGAAAAGAACGACAATGCCGAGGATAAATAAATGCCTAGAACGATATTCACAATTTCGGTTCAAAGTTGGGAGTTCCGTGTCGTCGAGTAATTTATTTAGTTAACTCGCGACCTATCCTTAATCGTAAAAGAGACGGCGCACGATTTATTCCAAGCGAACTAAAAGTAGTATTCGCCGGTTTTTATCTCGTTTTGTTTGCGTTATATCCAAATGGAGAGAGAGAGAGAGAAAGCGCGTGCGTATATTTAACAGAGTTTCACCGACCCAGAGAAACAAAAGCGCGAAAGGATGGAAACGAGCGGCTATCGGTTCGCGACCATTGTTACGCATTATATACCTGGTCTGGTATAAGCTGGAATTGGAAGTGTTCGCCGGGAGGGGAGGAAAAAATGAGAGGAAGAAAGGGAGAAAGGGGAGAGAGGAGGAAGTAGGAACAAAGGGAATGGGGGGAAAAAGAGAGGGAAGGGTAGGTGGTAAAAAGTTGTCAGGTTTTGCAAATCCGTGCGAAAAACACGCGTGGAATCGCGCAGCTGGTGGGGAGTGAAAAACAAGGTGCGAACCGAGCGAGCGAGGCGCAATTTGCGCATCGAACTAAAAGAAAGAAAGGAAAGAAAAAAAGATAGGGGACGAAAAGAAAAAAGGGGAATATCGTCGTGTTGCCGATCGAATCGGGCAAATGCGACGTTTTCGTTGGAAAAATTAAGCGCCGCTGGACGAACATGCTCGAGTTGACTGCAGGCAACCGAGCGGATTTGTTAATTGGACGACGAAAATTTTTTCTTTTTTTTCTTTCTTTCTTCCATTCGTGCATTTGAGTAAAGTGAAGTAAAAGGTTAATAACAGATGAGACGAAAGCGATGAGAAAAAATAATTATGATAAAGGCGAAAAAAGTGTATCGAGCTATCAATTCAGATTTAATTAAACAAATTTCGCGTTGATTCGAACAGCATTTATCCTCCGCGATACTTTTGACCGGCCATCCGAATTCGAGTATACGCTCTAGTTGTGTAGAAAACGAAAAGGTATATAGAAGATGACACTTTTAACGGCGGCGAACGAGATCTGGGGAAAAGGGGATTTCCCATCGGGACGAAAACAAAGCGAGATTTTTCCTTTTGACGCGAACAGTCCTTAATACCACGGGCGCGATAATTTTAAATTAAAAAAGTTCATTGGGATATAAGAGAAATTCTCGAGAAATTCTTACCTGGAATTATTCTTGGGAACGAAGAGGGGGAAAGTTGAGAGAATAAATTTAAAAAATTTACGGGAATTTAATTACGTGAAAGAAAGAATCCGATTGAAATTTAAATGTCGCTTAACAACTATAAATTAACAAAATAAGAAATGGATTACGATAATTCGTTCTCTTCGATAAATTCCCTGTGGCAGAAAATCGAGCAATTGTACAACGAACTGTAGAAATTTAACGAAGTAACTATTACGTATTTTCGATTCGCCGATCGATAAAATTGGAATAAATATCGAAAGGAATCGTTTCATTTCATACGTTCAACGCCCTTTTTTAACCAAGTTAGCGATCGGAGCCGAATAAGTGCAATCGATTAATCGTGAAGAGACTTTTACCAAGAGTTTCCATCCGGTTTAAAAAGGGATAAAAAATGGGAATTAACAGAGTACACTCCGGTACAAACGGTAATTTTTTGATAAATACATTTTTAAAAAATGCCTCGTTTATTCCGAAATGTGAATAATTTATTTTTGAATCGAATAATCGCCGTTCAAAAGGGACCGTCGTATGAATCAAAAAAATGCGTAATATATATTTATTTATTCATTTCAGCAAGAAAAAACAATATAAATCCTACAATATATATATGTATATATATGAAGGTAAAAATAAAATTTATAAAACTCGATACCGTTGTATTAAAATTAACGAATAAATTTTTTAAAATATCCCTATTATTATTATTTGTTATTGCTGTTATTATTATTATTATTATTATTATTATTACGTTCAAACAGAATTTCACGCTTTTATTATAATTTTCAATATTAAACGTGTGTACGCTCAATGATATTTATTAGCTTCACGGTAATATGATTAAAAAGTAATTACATGGTAGACGTTCTAGCACGAATATATATATATATATAATTCACTTCACATTCATCTATTTAGAGACCCAATGTGGAAATATTACGCGAAGTAAATATTCCATTCCGAGCTTTTTCGAAGTATTTACGTCTAGAATAGCAAACCTATTTCTCGTTCTTCCATATATATATATATATACATATATATCTAACATTTTCGTAGAAATTTTGTATCACAGCATTTTTATATTTGGCCCGATTTCCAACTTGTTATAAATCACTGTCGCGTAGCTGGAACGGGTAACTACTTTTCTCGATCCCGTGTCGATATCAGAAGGAGTATAAGCGGATCAGTGAGAAGGAAAAAATCGTGGAAACGCACAAACGCGAGTTTCGCGTAGGCCAAGAGTAGAAAAAAAAAAACCATACATTCGATTAAAATTTTTTCCAAATGTCGAGCAACGAATATATAGCGTGGATCGATCTCGAGTCAATCGTTATTTCGGTGATGTGGATGTAACACGAGTGATTCTCGATTCCGTGAACGAACGAAATAATCGAAAACATCCTTAGAGTCATCCCTTTCGTTCGTTTCCGTTTCGAATTCTGCTCTTCGAAGATGAATTGCTATTCGTTTCTAAAACTGTCTTTAATCTTTCTCCATCAGCGAAAATAGTTTCACGATAAGACAGACAAATGTTGTCGAATAACGTGAAATATCCATTTTGAAAACGCGTTTCGAAACACGTTAATATCTTTCTCTTTTAATCATCATTTCCAAGCATACGCGAAAAACTTGTCTTCCAGTTATGAGAAAAACTAATAATACTTTGTAACTTGTTAAAGAGAAAGGCTATCGTTGGAATACGTTGGAAAGGAGGATAAATAGTGAAACAATGGCGTATATAATCGCGCCAAGGATTGGATAATCACCATTGATTATCCTGTTTCCAATAATCCTACAGTTTGTGTAATTAGCCTCGATATCGAAGACGAAGAAAAACGAGGAGAGCAGAAGAAGAGAGGAGAGGAACGATCTGTACCGAAGTGGTATTTTTCTTCTTCCGTTCGTTTTCGCCAAGTATCGATCTCTTCAACGTTTCTTCCATTACACCGATGCTTTCCCTCCCTCTTCCGCTTTTCATTCTCGCCTATAAATCACTGTCAGATCGACTGGACGAAATGTATCTTTCCGCGGTACGAATAGGATTTTTGGTCTCGTCGATAGCGCGAGAAAAGAATGGAGAAAGATGGCTGGTGATGCAGTTCTGATGTCCACGCGGAATGGATACAGCTTTGTCGCGTTTGTTTCGCTCCTCATATACATATTTCTCGTTCACGTGACATCGTCCCAGAAATCGTCCCAGTCGCTTCGATCCTTCCTCGCGGAATTCGAAAATTTTCGCGACCACGACATGCGCTCGATTCGCGCTCGACTCCTATAAATCTTCGCGGCTCAATTTTTCAATGGCGATATTTTTACCACGCCCGATATCTCCTCCTCCCTTTGTCATTCTTCTTCCTGCTCGTTTCGAATACATAATTGTTATTCACGACGAGAAAGAAAGAAAGAAAGAAAGAAAGAAAGAGGTAAAATGATAATGTTCCCCCATCCGGTGAAAAATTTCATATCGTAATCGGTTTCTGCTCGACCGGCGGCTAATATCGATAATACGAGGGAGGGGGAGGCATCGATATCGGGGAAACTGATATATCCATGATCGTGGGTGGCGAACGTGGCCATATCCATAGGAGGACGGCGAGCTGCGTTCATAGTCGTGCCGTAATGACGGACACACTCGATTTGGAAATTTCCGAGATTGAAACAACGCTCGTGACCGCAGACGGTCGATGTCTGTACACGGTATACAGCTGCATAACTGCCAGTTTCAGCCGCGATATGACGCGGCATGAATAAGTCTGGAACCGCTCTTGTTGGGCCGACATTGTCAGCAGGTAGCTTTCAACGGTTGTGCAACGCTCGTTCTCCCGGTCCTTCTCTCCGCCCGAGCTCGTTATGACGCGCGTAATGAGAACGTCGAAATTCAGACTGATCCCTTTTAACGCTCTACTCGCCCGTCCTTCCTCCAATTCGCCGTGAATATCTGTGCGCCGCGCCGCCTCCATCATCGACGTCGTATCGAAATTAGTTGGCTTCCGTCGCGCATCAGTGTATTTATTTTCGGCCGACACCCACCAAAATCGAAAACGGAAGCGATCGATCAACGGATGAAAGAACCAAGACGCGTAACATTGTCCTCTAATTTAAACGCTAGCTCAGATACCGCGTTTAATAATTGCTCGTAATAATTTCGTTTCACGAAACGTTCGACGAGCCAGCTTTGCGATTGCAAAGATTACTTGCGTCGCTAAGAGAAAAGGAGAATGTAAAATTGAACGAACAACAAACGGCCGGGTCGAAAAGAGTAGGGGAAAGGTGGAAAAATTTATAGGTGCATACGGTTGGGGATATGGACGGTGTATTGCGATTAGGGAAAGGAAAAGTTCGAAGCATCTTAATTTATAATGACGTATAATGGAATATTATACGTGAATAATTTTTATTATCCGGTTTCGATTGGAACTTTTCCCTCGTCGTTACGAAACGTCGAGTCGACGAGCTCGACCTCGTGGCACATTTTCGGATCGTCCGCAAGGCGGTCGTGCGCCTAAACAGCGCGATCCTGCGAGTCATCCTCTCTCTCTCTCTCTCTTTCTCTCTCTTTCTTCTATAGTAATTAAAGTAATGAGGAATAAACCGCCCTGAGGAGAAATGTAATTTGAAGGGAGAGGAAGCCAGCTCCTCCTCCTCCCGACAACCTCGTTACCGTACTTCGGATTTCCGTCGCAACAGCTTTGTTTCGAATCGAAAACTGGAACGAATATAGACGTCCCGAATTTCATCTTCGCCTTTCTTCTTTCCTTCTTCTTCTTCTTCTCTTCTCTTCTTTTTTTCTCTCTCTCTCTCTCTCTTAATTTTGTTAACGCTTGGAAGAGGAACGCCGTGTAATTGAATTGGAGCGAAAAACAGAGCGGGTGGAAGCGAGTAACGCGTTACCAAAGGAAGGCAACCAGCGGCGTGTATACGAGCGCGTTAGGCAAAAATCGCACAAAGGCGAACTTCGCTAATTCTTCACGAGTAAATTTTTGTAACCCCCGTTAAAGGGGGTCCGACTTCCTTTCCCCGCTCTCCTTAACGCGTTATGAACGAAAGAAGAGAGAGAGAGAGAGAGAGAGAGAAAAGAAAAAAAGGCGCCGCGCGTTAAACAAGGAAGAAACGCGAAAAGGATTATTCGTCCACCAGCCAGCGTAATAGATTAAACTTCCTTCCTAAGAATTACGGGGGCGGTAAAATTACTGTAGTAATAGGGAGCACGTGAAGTATGACGACCTCTTGTAAAAGTTTCGAGTAGTTTTCTAATTTAAACTCTCTCGGCCGCTTCCCTCGCTTCATTAAAACCCCTATTTTATCGCGCGGAAATATTTATGTAAATACCGATCCATCTTGCTTCGCCGGCTTCCCGTCAACGGGGGGAAGAGGGGAGGAGAGAGGACAAAGAAAAACAAAAGAAAAAGAAAAGGAAGGAGAAGAACGTTCGTCGAACGTCGAACCGTAAAAAAAAAAAGGACAACGACGATCTATCGAATTCCTTGATGTTATCCGTTTAATTAAGGAAAAAGAAAGAAAGAAAACGATCGATCGAAAGTGTTTAATAACCGAGGAGAATTTCCACATCGAGATCATACACATCGTTCATTCCCTTGTTTCAGAACACCGACGGGCTTGGAGGACGTAAGCAAGTATCCGGAGCTTTTCGCGGAGCTGTTGGCGCGTGGATGGTCGGAGAGAGACATTCAGAAATTGGCAGGCCTGAATCTGATTCGAGTGTTCAAGGCGGTGGAGAAGGTGAACTTTTTCTCTCAAGATCGAAAGAAAAAGAATAATAATAATAATAATAATAATAAACGCTTCCTCCCCCCTCTCGTTTCTCGTCGCGCGAAAAAAGAAATGAGAAACTTGGGTAGAGACGAGCCCTCCTCGATCCTCTCCAGCGCGAAATAACCGATGGTCGGAAACCGGGTTAGCCGAGTCGACCGATATCGGATTTAATAAAGCGCACAAATCGTGCATCCGCCTGTGTGCATCGTCGAGAGAGACGGATGGACCCGATTTTTTGTTCTTTTTGGAGTCCTGCCAATCCCAGAACCAGCTGCCTCCAAACCCTCCCCTTCCGCTTTCTATGATTCGCGCCGATCTATCCGATGTGCGAGCAAGCGAACGTTGCGACAATTATACGCTCTCCTTCTCTTTTCCCACCCTGTCACGCGTTTATTCTCGTTTCGTGGATAAGGGAAAAGTAAGGCCGTTTCAAAGCTAATAAATGTGTAAAGTTCAACGAATTTTTTTTTCTTCTTTTACATACGTCTTAAAAATGTTTACCTTCGAGATATTTATCGTTTTCCCCTGGCGAGTAAGAAAACTTGAAAGATTTCGCTGAAACAGCTACGATTTTTACTTGTTAGCAACCGAATATCGCAACATTAATTTACCGAGATGGTGAAGTCCCGTACCCTGCATCTGACAAGCGAACGAATAGAAAAATTTGCATCTCTCTCTCGTCCTGACGTTTCGTATAAACCACCGGTTTTTAAAAAGGTATTAATAATTTCACTTTTCGAGGGCATTTTTTACTTACTCCGCCTCCTCTCCTCCTTTTCACTCTTTCTCTCCTACCCTGTTTGACGGACAAGTTAAAAGCCTCTGAACCGAGTGTGTTCATCCGAACGATGTAGCGGGATATTAGTCGAATTACAGGGACATGTTGTAATGGGGGAAATTACGCGTATAAATAGTGTCGGTTATTTGACGACCCTCGACACGGCCGTCGCTGAAATTACAACGATAATTTAATCGCGATCTCCCCGTCAGCGCAACGTAACAGTAACGCCAAAGCGGATTTCGTTAATACGCAAAAGTAACGCGAAACGTGCTCGAACGTTGAAAACGGGGGCTTTCACCCTCGAACGAAACGAAGCGAAACGAAACGAAACGAATCGCTCGTTTTTCGGCCAAATTCGCAAATACCAAAAAAGGCGAGAGAGAGAGAGAGAGAGTTTCCATTGATCCAATTAAACGTAACAAAAATTCACGCTGAAGGACCGTGAAGGAAAAGCGAATTATTCGCGCGACGAAACGCACAATTTCGTGATACGTGAGAAGATCGATTCCCTTCGAGGTGGCGTTAATTCGTATCGGGCGAAACTTGCGTTTCGATTCTCGTTTTCCTCGTCTCGAGGATGTAAGTCCTCTAGCTTTCCAACCGTCTCGTTACCGGAAACGTGGTAATTGTTAAAACAATAGACAGGTCTACCGCAACGGAACTCTCGCTACCGGTTGGATTGAATTTCCACGTGAATTTCCTTCCTGGACGGAAGGATGAAAATTGCTGCGCGAGGAAAAAAGGAAAAGGATTGACTAGAAACGGAAGAGCCGCGATATGATAAAACGTAAAAAAAGAAGGAGAAACTCCCGTTGATCGAGAAACGCGCGAGACGACGCAATTGTTGCTTGTGAAAAAGAAACGAGAAAAGTTTCGAGACTCTGCTCTGGGATAAGATCTGACGATTAAGGAGTTTGATACATACTATTCGTTCCGACGAATTCTAAGGTAAGGGGATCAAACGGTGGACAGGTTAAGTACGGTTGGATAATTACGAGACAACCTTCCCCTATCTCGACGTAATACATTTTCGCGTATAACCGTACTTGGGAACGTGTCTCTCCCCTAAATGGTTGAAACGATCTAACGTTAAAAATATATACGCGGCTTCGTGCGCTATCTCGCGCATGGGTTACGATCTTGAGATGACCGACGACATCGTATTCAGGAATACGAGATTACGGTGAAATTACTGCGCGGTCCAAAATCGTCATCTTCGAACAAATATCTTTGAACAAATTTTCGATTTATCGCTTTTATACGTCGAGTAATGCGGTCGAAATTTACGTTTCGTCAAATTCGCTTTCTGCGAGGTGAGCGCGGTGAAATAATAATTTCGCCAAACAGGTGGCGAGTATTGCTCGTATGGACCTCGTGCGTTCAATAAAAAAGATCGTTACGAGTGGAAAGAGGGGTGGAGAAAGAGAAGGTTTGATTAAAAACATTAAGGATTTACGAAGGGCGACGAGTACCAATTCTTATTCGATTCGTGCAATCATCTCACGACGTCCATTAACATTTTAATTTCCCCGACGAGTCTCCCCCGGAATGCTCTGCGGCGACGATCGTTCCACTCGGTAAAGAAGGGGGAAAAAACTTAATTCAAAGATAAAACGTACGCGGCACGAAGAAAGAAACGAGCGTGTATCAGGCCAAAGAGACCGTTCGTAACGTGGTAGACCGGCTTTATCGCGGTAGGTACAAGGTCGACGATAAAACTGGATTTTGGGAGAATATTGAAATCGTTAGGCACGCAACTCGAAACTTTCTTTTCTTATGAATATAAGATTCGACACGAATCTTCTTCTCGTCCTTTCCTTTCCTTTTCGTTTCGTTTGAAATTTAATCCAAATTGCTAAATTTTCATCTTCCAACATATTTTTGAAAATATCGTTAATACGATCGAAAGGGTGACTGCAATAATTTTTAAAGTTGCGCTCGTGCAACCCTTTATCGAATTGGCTTTCTGAGAGCAATTTAACAACGAACCGACGCAAACACGAAAACTTAAAACGGTATGAATAACGGTGGGGAGGAATCTCTATGTTTTACAACCGCTCGCAATATCTTTATTTTTCCATCCTCGTCGCCGGACAAAACCGGTTAAAGGATCGTATCTCCTACGGTTGATCCAGAAAACGGAAACACCCTTGATCCCGATGAAAAGCGGGAGGCTGCCCGTTTTCGAAGCCAGTCGTTGCCGTTAAACCGTTAAAGGACAAAAAACGCAGAATAAAGGAGAAAAAAGTGGAGGAGGGAGGGGGTTGTAGAAAAAAAGTTGTGAACATCGGTTACGCGTTCGCGAAAGCCTCGGCCGGACCGTAATGGCCGTGGAAGGTTAATGGGCTTACCGAAAATTGATGGTGGGTGTACAGTAGTCGCATGAAATACGCGCTCCGCCAACTTTTTCCCTCGCCTTTGCCCCCGCGTACCCCCTCCCCTCCCCGATCGCCCGCCGTGATTTTTCCTCCGAGCATTCGCCACGCCATGTGCACCCTACGCCATCGCCATCTTCCTCCCTCTCCTCCAAACGAAATTGCTCCATCGTGAAAAATATCGATTCTTTTTCGTCCCGATTATCCCGATATCGAGTTCGCCGCGAATATATTTCCATTTCCGCTCGAGCAAATCTTTTCCTCCCTCGCCGTCTCCACCTCCCGCTAACGAATCGAAGAGATCGAGCAGTTTCTGTTCCCAGGTTCGAGACGACATGGCCGCGGACGGGGTGGAACCTTTGGAGGAAGAGATCCCGCACGAGGATATAATCGGTCGGGATTACTGCCGTTACAACGTGAAACGACCGATCGCCCCGTAATCATCGTTGCGAATCGACTAGGGGAATAATGGGGAATGGTCGAAGAATGGGGAGACGTGGTAATCGTCGCAGTGGAAAGAAAGAGATGCCTCGGTTCGGGAGGCAAGATTCCAGAGGCTCGTAATTCCGCTTCGACGAATCGAGCTTTCCTCCGACTTTCCTTTCTCTCCATTCTTCTTTCCCATTTTATTATCCGCGATTCTCGGCCGCGTACGAACGTAAAGTAGATAGGCAAACTCGATTTCCTCCTCCTTCTCGAGTGTCGCAAAAAATATGGAGGAGAATCGAGATGAAAGAGGGCTGAGAGAGAGAGAGAGAGAGAGAGAGCTCGATTCGTCGAGATTTGATTTTCCTCTCGAGGAAGGAGGGAAACGACGGATCGTTGGCGAGATAACGATACACGATAGAGAGGAGTTGGTCGTCCCCGGAAGGAAGACTTTCGAAGACCAAGGCCGGCGTTCGGCCGTCGAAGAATTTAAGCTGCCGTAATGTGTTTAATTTGCACTCAACGATCATTTCGTCGATCCTGGAACCAAAAATCGCGCGTTCTAGTCAATATAATTGATCACATTATGTATAAATATGTACACATTGACGATCGATTTCGCGAACGACTGACACCGATCGTGAGAAACACGAGCGGTGACTGTTATTCGATTCGAGTGGACGACTGCTTCGATGTGTGTCCTACCGTGTATACGTGTGTGTGCGTGTGCGTGTGTGTGCGCGAGAAAGAAAGAGAACTAACGATGTTTGTACATACGGTACCTGAAGTCGATGAACATATTGATTCTCCTTATAGAACAAACCGACCGGACAAAATTTTCACCGGAACAATTCAATCGTGATCCTCTCAAAAATCGTGAATAATCACTCGCATGATTACTCTCGTTTTCGTTAAAAAGAGAGAGAGAGAGAGAGAGAGAAAAAGTTCATATTCGTTCGTAAAACTCGTAGCATCCATCTCGGTTTAGAAGATTCTAGATGGCCGGTTTGATCAGACTGTCGAGGAGGAAAACTAGATACCAAATTAGGCTCGAAGAAGCTCGATAAAAAGAAAAAAAGTGAAACGTTGACAAAGTCAACGGACGAGAAAACTTTTCCTACGATTTTGCACGATCGAAGTTGACGTCGATGTCGCGTTGTTACGATTGTTCACAACGATGACGTTCTCATTCATTGTAACCACCACTTTTTAAGGCTCGTATATTCTAATTAACGCACCGAGTAAATATCCTTTCTTAACGATGTTTTTACACTAAACTTTTAATATAGGCCAGATTTTAAAAACGGGCGAGCATGGAGCAAAAGAAAAAGAAAAGAAAAAAAAAGTAAAGGAAATACGTATAGAGCATATGAAAGCAAGTCGAAAACGTATTATCAACTTCCCTCGTGCCATCGATTACAATTTGATCGTTTTCATTTTACGCGAATCTGCGTATCGTTTGAAACTTATTATATTCACTTATGTTCCGATCGAAAAAAGAAAAAAAGAAGAAGAAGAAGGAGGAGAAGAAGGAGATAGAAAGAAGAAGAAACGAATCGTAAGACTTGTTTCGTATCGATCGATGTAACGATCATTCGTGTGCAAGTAGTCAAGATCAACGAAGCGCCAGCCTCGTGTGAGTATATCCTACATTTCAAACGTTACTGATACCAAAAAAAAAAATAAATAAATAAATAAATAAACAAATAAATCGACGACAAATCGAAATACGATCGTTGTTCGTAACCGATTTATCTTATTTTTTTTTTCTCTTCTTCTCATTTTCCACCCTCTCTCCCTTTCGTACGAGATATGTTCTAAAAAAAATTTTGTAGAAATTTCTCTCGTCGAAAAGATCGCGTGAGATCTGGACGAGATTGGAAAAGTCAATGGCTGCGTCGAGAAGATCGAGCAAGTAAATCGAGTGCATCGATTCGCCAATTTACAAGTAACAAAGCGCTCGTTGGTGATTCACGCAGCGGCGTAGGAGGCAATCAAGTGCAAAGCACACGTTGAAATCGTAAACGCGGCTTGGTTTATTGGCATTTCAGGATCGTACGTGCTGTGAATTCCGACCGTAGTCTTGATTAGATTGTCGTTCCGCAGATTTGATAATGGCTGATTACCTATCAATCGAATAAATCAATTATTCCCTTTCCACCCTGAGCAAATTTTGACACAGGCCGACACGACGCGCCACCGATGGAAAAATAGAACGGGGGGAGGAGGAGGAAAAGTTTATTTTCGACCGCTGTTTGCGAAACTCTGCGTGTGTGTTATTTTCATGTTTATCCTGCATACGTTATTATCTCGTAACTGAAACGTCACTATTTTCACATCTCGTTTGTTTATTCCCCCTTTTGTGTGGTATGCAAATGTGATAAAAAAAAAGAAAGGGGGGAGGGGGAGAAAAAACTTGACGCTTAATTTCACATCCTTTGGAAGAAAACGCGAGTTGGTTGGGATAAACGTCTCGATGTTACTCGCGTTCCGCGAGGATAACAAGATCTTGGTGCTCTAATCGTTGATCGAAAGTTGCCGATCGAAACTGTCGCGCGAAAGTTGGAGCGAAAAGGGGGTGAAAAAACTGATAGCGACGAAGAGTAAGAAAGGAGGTGGGTAGGGAAGCTAAAGGAACAGCGGCTTTTCAGCGATAATTAATTTTTCGCCATTGGTAAGTCCGTAACGAGCTCGTTAAAAAGTTTTGACACGTTTAGACCTGGATTCGGCCGTGCAAAAACCTTTTAAGTTTCCTCCCTCGAGACGAATGGTCGGGACTGAATGAGCAGTTGGTTTCTTCGTCCGACCTTCCGCCCGCAAACGAATCGTCTCCCTCTACCCTTCCTTCCCCCCCCCTTTTTTCCTTTCTTCCTCTTCTTTCTCCACTGCTATTGCTATCCAGTCCACCACCATCTCCCTTCCCCCATAGATTTTCTCTATTCCTCTAATCTTTGTCCACCGGTGTGCTTTTGCCCGATGACTTCTCGCGGCAAACAGATGGGAGGGGAAAGGATGAGGGGGGAAAAAAGGTTCGAAATAACAGCGGGAAGGAAGAATCTCGTGAATGCGAGAGAAGATGCGAGACGTCGCAGCAGAGGAGGAGGGTGGGGTGGAGGTGAAATCTCGAAGAAGAGAAGCGAGGAAAGTGAAAAGACAATGCCGAGCCCGCTCTCTTTGTTCCCCTCCCTTGGCTGGATATCGGCCAAGTTTGCGAAAGAAACTCGAATTATAAATTTTATCCTTTGATCCGGCCCTCTGCTCGAAATAATACGAAATCGTCGTACGTGTAACGAATTTCGCCGGACGAAATTACTTCAACGATCGCGCCTATATATTCTTACGAGGATTCTTACGACCTCTTTCGCAAGTTTCGAACAAGTTTCTCTCAAGCGGAGAAGCAGGAGGCTGGATGAAAAAGTACGGGCAGATTCTTCCACGTAACGATCGTCCTAAGGGCGAGGAGGAGAAAGGTTGGCGAAAAGCGGAAGATTAACCGAGACAGCCGCGTGTATCGAATGGGGGTGAAATGAAATATCGAATTTTGGCCCTCGAGCGATCGGAAGATGAGGTACCAAGTGGAAGACGGGATAATGACCGTAGCTAGTAGGAGAAAATGGCGCTGGAGGCTAGAGTTCTAACACGGAGAGGGAGGGAGAGAGAGGGAGAGAATTAACGGTACGTTTACGGGAAATTTGCAGCACCGGCGCAAATCTTGCTTTCGGCTTATACGATCAGGAATCAAATATCGGTCCGCAGGTTGATCGTGTTCCAGGAGGGGGGCGGCTTTACGATTCGGTCGATCGTAAAGCTTGATAGCTCTAGCCCTAGGTCCGGCCGATAGACCTTCGTTCTAGCCACGAGACTCGACGGAACCGTTTCACAGAATCTCCTCGTTCGTGAATATTATATCGCGGCCGTGATTGAATCGACGCGGAAACGGAGAAATTCGATTTGATTCGATCGAAAGGTCGGCTCACTTTGTCCCGGCTTCTCGTCGACTTTTATACAACCATCGATTGAAAAATTCGTACGGAAGTTTATATGGCTAGTTTATACGTACACTTTTCTACAAGATTCGTAGCTTTATCCGTTACGATCTGCCAATCCACTTTCAAATCGTTCGATTTCTCCTTAAACCGTTAAATTGCCACGAGACTTGAATTATCGAACGCGTTCCCCTCCCCGCATAGACACATTTGTTCAAAAATTTATTTATTCTTGACGGACTTTTCGGTGATCACACACAGAAAGATACGAAACGGGAAACCGTATCAAATATTTAATACCAGCTGAGACCTTTGAGAATTAACCTCCCTCGAGTGTGGCGATCTTAAATTTATCTCCGGAATTTTGTTTGAATCCGCATCCGCATCTTTTCTTTTTTTTTTTTTCTTTCTTCCTTGCCATATCGAATGAAAATTCATAAAGCGGATATATACAATGGTATATTGAAATGTAGCGAAGCGGAAAAAAAAACGATATATTTTTATACTTTTCGCAATTCCGACCAAGCAAAATATAATAAAAGCAAAACCGTGTGTTAAAATAAACGGACGGGGATTAATTCGGCCAAGTTTGTCAAACGGCATTCCTTTCCTTTTTTTTTTTGACGTGTTGATTCCCGCGACGACGAACCAGCTCATCCACCATCATGGATTCAAAAAGCAATAACAAAAGTGTCGGTCGAATAAATTACGAAATAAATGAAACGCAAATCCGGTGATACACGGGAGCCGGTGGTAAACGGTGGAACAACATTAGCGCGCAGGTTGAATGGAAGAATCTATCCGAGGCCCGTAATATCCCCGGCCAATATCTGTCAAGATTGCAACTTAAACACCCGTTGCTGCGTAAAGTAGGTTTTTTATATGAATTTCGAATCGAAAACGACACTCACCGGAAGTTCAATCTCCCGCCCATAGCTGCGAAACCGTTGCACGCCGTTCGTTCGGTTTATCCCCGTTTTTGCCATATTTCCTTGTACACACATCCAGTGTGGAATATCCGCGCGACACTCGCTCGTCCAATCCCTGAAAATAGAATGTAAACTTTATGGGGAAACACGCACGTGGAAACGAAACGCGTTATAACCGTGAATAAGGGGGAGGATAAAAAAAAGGGCAAATAATAAAAAGAGTCTCTTTAACCCGAGGCTCTTTAATGCCGTTCCATCCACCGTCTCCCACTTAACGATATTAAACCGATCTTAATTCACCTGGTGGCTCGGGAGTGGAAATTTTTCCTGATACGGATGAAATTCATAACTAGTCCATATCCGCGCGAGAACGAAAGCCTGTTGGAAGACCTGGTCGCGACCATTGTCTGGAATTATCGAATTACCGTATCAGGTTTTATCTTTCCCGCTCTTTTTCTCCTTTCTCGGCGATTCTTTATCGCTATTCTTTTCCTTCCTTCGTTCCTTTTCCTTCCTTTTCGTCGTTTTTTTTTTTTTTATTCTTTTTTATTTCGTTCGCGAACCAAAGTGTCGAGCACACGCGTCCAACGTGCGTTTTTTCGCGGAAATTGAAATCGCGGAAGCACGGTTTATGGCGGCGAGGAATCAGGCGCGTACACTATGGTCTTCTACTACTACGGCTTTTACGAGCCGTTGTTGCGATCGATGATGGGTCGGTCAGCGAGAGAGTAAAACTAGCCGCGCGAAAAAGATGTTAAGAAACGATCTTCCAAAATATGTGTTCCGATTTATTTTACGCTGCGCTTTTATATCGTTCGCACGAGTGAAAGAATTTCTGTCTGAAATTTAAACTATGCGCAAACTTTCGCGTAGCAGAACGGATGTAAGCCGTTTAAATTAAGCCGCTTTGCGGTAGGATAATTAGATTTAGAGAAAATTACGTGTGTGGGACGTTGTACGTTAAAGTTACAGCTATAAAACGAAGGAGAAGGGAGGGGAGAAAAAATGCGACAGCGCAGGCAAAACACCGCGAACCGTAATATTAATTTTCCTTTATCTTTTTTTTTTCTCCTCCCCCCGCAACGCGAGATTAAATATCCGTACCAGGATCTCTTCCTCCGAGAAAATTCGTTTAAATAACACCGCGCTTCACACCGTTCGAAGACTGAAATAATATCTTATTCTTGGTATACAGGTCGGCTGGTTTCTTTCAATTATTATTATCGACACTGTTACCGTTTGACCTGGCGCGGCCTGGTTCAGTCGAAAACACTTCGATACTTACGCACACGTTTCATGCCCTTGCGAGAATACGTGATCGGTACACCGATATTTATCGCTTTTCTTTCTCTTTTATTTATTTATTTTTTTTTTTTATCAACTCTTCTTTTATCGAACAGCAGTAACATCGTTTCGACGCGCTACGGGTAATATAGATGGGAGATTGCGTTGCAATCTGCGTAAATCGAAACAGAGATTTCGAACGAAATATTCACGGCGAAATATGCAAATTCGTGTACAGTCGTGTGGGACGAGATCGTGGTAGAAAAAAAATATTATGAATCAAAATGACAGTGACGAAGCTGCGTTTTTCGTTACTTCGATCGGAGGAAATAAGATATAAATAGAATTTATTATAGGGAGTGGAATAGAATTGGATGGAATAAAATTTTTGGTTTGGAAAAGAAAAGAGAAAGGGAAAATATTTGTTTAAAAATATTCGTTTTATTCATCTTTAGATTCTTTTCCCGAATATATGAACAAGTTTCCGCAATATTAATATTTTGTACAAAATAATAGCTTTTTATACGACAGTATAAAAATACCGTTTCCATTATCTTATTCGCCGTGAATAAACACGGCTGCGTCATCGAACGAAAAAAACGCTCCTGGCGGTAATTTGAAAAAATAAGATCTAAAATCGCTCAACGAATACACCTACTATACATATAATATACTCTGAATCTCTGAACTTTTTTTCTTTTTTTTTTCTTTTTTTTTTTTTTTTTTTTTTGTTGTACTATGACGATCGTTCTTTGTCAACGCGTAACAGCAATATATAATTTTATCTCTTCTCATATTCTCTCTCTCTCATATTCTCTAACAATCGTCGGAAAAAGGTACTTGTAAGTAGGTACAGTGAGCGTCGGCCGATATAAGTACTACCGACCGATCGACTTTTATATCGTTGATTATCTCAACGATGATAAAATTAAGAGAAAGAAGAAGAAAAAAAAAAAAAAAAAAAGAAAAAAACAAGAAAGATAATATTTTTTTTAACTTAATCGATCACAAACAACAAGGATACACGAACAATTTTTTCGTGAAGCGTCAAGGATAAAAAACGTTAAACGTAATAATAATAATAATAATAACAAGAGAAACAACAACACCGAACCAATTTCTTCTTCTTCTTCTTCTTCTTCTTCGAGGATTGGACGAAACGAGAAGAGGACTAGCTAAAAGTAGGACAGCATCGTAAGATGGGGTTTCGTTTTCTTCCATTCCTTTTTGTTTTTTCAACGGTTCTACCGTTGGAGAAGAGGCGCGTCCGAATGATTCGAGAGGCCGAATGAATCTTCGATACCGTCCTTCGATTCGAGGAAATATAATCGGGAATACGAGGGCAACGTTCGATTTCCACGGTATCCACGTGGAAAAGCAGAAATAATAAAAAAAAAAGTGGCGAAAAGCTCGATGTTCGTGACTCGTGTTTCTCTTTCTCTCTTTCTTGTAGTCGGTTAGTTGGCCACTTTCTCCCGCTTCAGAGAGCCAAGCTCCTCCAGCATCGCTTGTAGCCCTTCGGGAACTCGTCCGGCGTCCAATTCTTGTCCCCACTGCCGATACTGCAAACGAAAATAACTGTTACACGAAGCTTTCGACTGGCACGCGATCGAACATCGTTTCTTATACCCAAACAGTTTCTCTTCTGAGAAGTTTAAGGGAACTGGAAAAGGTTGTTGGAGGATGGTGATGCGGCGTGGGAACGCTCTCTCTCTCTCTCTCTCTCTTCCTCTTCCATTCCATACACTTGAATACAAGGAAACAAGTGGGGAGGGGAGAAGATTTTTCGAAGTCTGTAAAGGAAGGCTTAAGAAAAAAAACGTGAAAAAATTTCGTGGTAAACGAGTTGTTCTGGATATACATACGCTACGTTTCAAATGTACGTACCTTTAAAACTCTTATCGGATTTCATTCGTTCGTTCAAAACGGTTCACGATATAACGGAAATTTTAGACGTTTATAACACTGTTTTCTTGCGGGCGATAAATATTTGGTATCGCGTTCAAAAAAATTCGACGCGCGAAAATTATACGTAAGCTTGGTTCCCGAGCTGAAGTGAAGAAAAGAAAAGGAAAAGAAAAGAAAAGAAAGGGCAATGCGAAGTTTAGGAAAGATTTTTCCAATGTCCACACGGACGCTCTCTATCTATCGTCCCTAGGAACCAGAACTAATTCTGAAAACTTCTGGAACGCCCATTACTCCATTGGAAAAAAGGAAGAAGAAAAGAAGAAAAAAAAAAAAAATAAGAACGAGAAAATGGAAACGCGATATGTTTACGATTCTTGGGAAAAACTTTGTGCCCTCCGGCATATTCTTCTTCTCTTCGTCGTCCGGCATGGGACGAGAATTTACGATATTAACGCACGCGGAAAATATAAACCCGTGCAACGGATTCGCTGTAACTCTTTTTCCGAAAGGGGGTGGATAAGAGGGGAGGGGACACGATTGCATAATCGAGAAACGCGTACGACTTTAAAAACGGCGAAGGAGGGGAGGCGCTGGAATAATAGGTGTATAACTCAGATCGCAAATCGCGAGAACTTCTTCCTTTCGAAAGGATTTATTATATCGGCCGGTTTCATGGGAAACAGCCACGGGGATACGCTATATATATATATATATACGTGAGAAATGTGTCGGAGGAACGGAATCGTGGAACGGAATAAGATGATGGAAGATAGGAAATTTTCCATGAAGGACTTACCATCTCCAACTCCCTTCGAAGTGCGAGCACAGCCTTTTCGCGGTCGGCTACCAACTCTTCGAGGTATTGATACCTTAGCTTCTTGCGAGCACGACACTCCCTCGCACTCTGTCGACTTCGTTCTGGAAAAATATATAAGGAAAACCGTGAAAAGCATGCGTTGACTTAATATTATATATTTCGTAAAGACTTTTCGTTATAATTATTTTCTTCGAGAAAAATGATCGGAAAAAGGTGATCTCGTAAAAAGGGGGATTCTTCATGGATATTATTATTATTATTATTATTATTACTAGATACTCTTTTAATAAATAAATAATAATCTTCTTTAACCGTACGTTACGATATTCGCAATTTTCTTCGGCTAAACGTTCGAAACGTTTCTCAAAGAACGATAGAAAAGACGATTACGAGAAACGGTAAGAGAAACGAGAGAAGGAAGCATATGAGGCGATGCTCTTTTTCGCTAAATTTTTCACGCTAGATCGAAACAAATGGGATACGGTCGGCGCGTTAATAATTTAATACAGCTTCGCTACGCGAAATCCGGTACTCGTGAGGTAAATAAAACGGTATCCTAATACACCGTTAATACATTTTTGAAGTGGCGCTTTCTTTCGAGCCACTTTACGCCCGTGCTAATTTCCACGCACCGCGACGCAAATACGTGTCGCTCTATTTTTCCACGTCAAACCATCCCCGCCCGACGAAGAAATATGAACGGCGTAATATTATGGTTGGAAAAAATTCGCGGCTTAATGATACTCGGGAGCGCGTTATAAACCTCGGGAATGCGTTAACTCTTGACGCGACTAGGTAACTAGAAACGCGATACTTTCTTTCCGGCACGTACAATAGAAACGTGCGGCAAAAAAAAATTGTATGTTCGCCTGAAGGAATTATGGGATTAAATTAAAGAAAAAAAAAAGGAGGGGGGAAACTCGATTCGAATAAGCTTTCGAGACATGTTTAAAATTCCATCGGGGTATGGAAATCGTTTAAAAAAAGAAAACGAGATTTCTTTGTGCCCGAGATAAGAAAGGAAAAGCAAACTGAAGAATACGTAGCGCGAGACGGCAGCTGCGCGAATCGAGAAGAGAAGTTTTCCATCCGACTCCGCATGCAAATACCATTATGCGCTGCTACGACCAATGTTGCCTTCCAATGCCTTTCCTTCTAATGCCCTCCTCTTACAATTGCAATTGCGCGAAACGAAGGAGGGAGGGCAGTGCATCTCGTGTAGACTATCGTGTAGAAAATCGAAACTAAATACCACTCTGCCCCATTCGCTGTCAACGGCGAAACGAACGAGTGCTCGACGAAACGACGAGCCGAGTTCGTCGGAAGAGGAACGAGCATCGATAAATAACCTCCCCCATTTCGTCCCGTCATAAATTGTCCCATGGGTAAAAATTACAAACGAAGGTGAAGGACGTGAGCGTCCTCCGCCACCGCGGCTTCAACGCGATAAATTCCCGCGACTCAAAATGGGACGCGCGATTTTTCACGCGGTTGTACGTGGCCCGGCAGCAAGCGAATACAGCGCACACGTGGAGGGAGGAGGGTAGGCCTGACGAATGGCAACGAGGCCGATTCGTCTCGCGACGCAAACAAGATGGACCATCGGATGATAAAATCGATCGTAATAGCCCGAGATATCGCAAATTTCTCCGCGGCGTGATAAAGCTCTTTACGATCAAGGGTCGCGGCTATTATCGCGTCTACGGCTCGCTAAGCCCGCCTTTTACGCGGCAATAAACGTCCCCTTTGCGGGGGGCCTTTCTTTCTGAAGAGAGAGAAAGCGGAGCTTTCACTCGGAGAGCCTTTTCTCGCGTCCAATCGAACTTTTAGCTTGGATCAGAAGGCGATTTTATTAGGGAAGGAATAATTCATCGTGGACGGCTGCGTGAACCGAGGCGATTCGAAAATTAACCGATTCTCGCGCGATCAATTTTGCGGTTTCATTTAGAAAACGAACGAGGCTTGAACGAGACGCGTAAAAAAAAGAAGCGATTCAGGGGGCAGAGGTGGCGAATGAAATTAGGGAAAATTGGATTTATGGGCGTTGATCGGAGAGGAAGAAAAAGAGAAATCGGGAAGGCTGGTGGTAGAAAGTCGCAAATTATAGCGGTTGTCGGGAGGAGCGAGGAAAAGGAGGAGGAGAAGGAGGAGGTGTTGGCTGGGCGGTGATTCGAGCGAAAAGAAGGAGAAAAGAGGTCGGAGGTCGGATGGAAAATTACGAAAACGCGGGGGACAAGAATGGGGGAGAGGACGTGGTTCGACCAGCGGAGTTACGAGCAGCCTGGGATTGCGGACGCGAGAGTTAGTCGTAAAACGAGCTTAAATCCTGTTCGTGTTGTTTCCCACCCAACCTTAGAAACCAGTTCGAATGTACGGCAGAGGTTGGGGAAAAGGTTGGGAGGAATGGCGGTTTGGAAAAGTCCGGAACAGTTGAATTCACGAGAAAAATCGTTTCGCTCGTGTGACTTCTTCGCGAGTTCATACGTGAACGCGTATTTATAAGAGACACGATTTCAACGATCGTGTAAAAGCGAAGAATAGCGATGGGAAACCCGTAGGATTAAAAGAAAGGAGAAAAAGAAGAGGAAGAAAGAAGAAAAGGAAGAGCTGTAACATCGGTTCCAACGTTTTCTCGCCAACGACTTTGCCACAATCTCTCTCTCTCTCTCTCTCTCTCTCTCTTCTCTCTGTCTGATTAGCAAAACGACGGAATTGCAAAACACATCTTTCCATCTCGTCGCGGTGCAGAATCATCGGGAACATCGGTTCCAGCCACCGAGTTGACCCAGCATAAATATTCATTCGTTTGGGAAGAATAAATATTCCTGACGGTGTCATGGGGGTCTGGTAGGTAGCGTCACTCGACGCGTTCGTAATCAACCAACGTGCATTTCTCACGTGGTTTCCGCAATGCGAGCGCGGTTACATCTTGTTCTCTTCGCTTAATACTCGACCGGGAGAAATGCAAATGGGGGCTAACTCGACTTCTTAAAGACGAGTCGCGAATAGGGAAAGGAAGGGAAAAGGATTCGCGATGGGACAAGATTTGAATTTTTTTTAAAAATACGCGAAAGAAGGAATTATCGAGTTGATTTACACGAGCGTCGTATCGTTATAAAATTCCACGTGAAATTCCACGCCGAAAGCTCGAACTACTAAATTTTGCCACCGTTTCTCCGACATATTTTTACAATTTCTTTCGTTCTTTCCTCGACGACTTGTGTCGAAGCGATCGATACAAATCACGATTTTGTATATTTGATACTTTGGCTATCGTCGTTCACGTTTGAATAATACAAGGACGAATAAAATTGAAGTGGATTACAGGGGTACGTTGAGAAGCTTCTTACCAAGCTTGGCTTTCATGTCCGTCTTGTCGGACGCCTTCCTTCCAGGCTTGCGTCCCCTCTTACCCCCCTCTTTCCGATCACCGCGAGATCCCTCCTGCGAAATAAAAAGAAAATTGTCAACATTTGAAAAAACCTATTTATCCTGCGATCAATCCGGAGAATTTCGAGCTGTAAACACGATGTTGGAGATTGGTTGGTGGAACGCGTTCCAGCTACGCAGAGATACGTTATTTAAAAATCCGAGCACATCTGGAACAATTAAAAAGCGGAGGGTAAGAGAAGCAGGACGAACGAGGAAGAATCGTGACACGTGTGGAGTACAGCGTGTGCGGTGAAAAACTTTGTTCCCAATTGTCGAGCGAAATCTCGAATAGGAAGGCGGAACATCGGAGCGGCGAAATGGATAGCGGTGAGATCCGAAAGCGGATGATACGAGTCTGAACGGCGACGTAATACCCGCCTAATCCGTTGTTTCTTCCTGTCACTGATTAATATCTCAAACGAGTTGGTTCGAGCTAGTGGAGAACAAACGTCCAACGTTTTGAATGGAACAAAAGCTTATCACGGGAAGAGGGAAGAGAAATAGAAAGAGAGATGCAGGTTGGCTAGGATCGCTCGCTAAAAGCGCCGCGCGAGCCATCCATCGACCTCTAAAGCGCACCACCGCCGCCGTTTACAGTCGACCACATTGACGAGTTTTCGCGCTAGTAGTAACTACTTTGCCAAATAACGTAGTTTGTCGTTGCGAAAAAGCTCAGACGGCGCCTCTTCCTTCCCGATCGTTACCCGCTTAACTTTTTAACGCCCCATTGACGCGAATGGTCCGTTCCGTAAATCGAAAAACACGGTTACCACTCCATTACCGAAACTCGTTCGCTCGAAACAGTTATCCTATCGTCCTCTCCCACATAATTGTGAAAAAGAAAAAAAAAAAAAAAAAAAAAAAAAAAACAATTATTGGATGAATTCGAAATTTTCCCTACCCTCTCGAAAGATAAAGAAAACGAAACAAAGGAGGGGCGTGCCTCGCCACGGCGACCTTTCACGACCCGTTAAAATTTACACGTCCCCGGAGCACGGTTGTTGCGACGAGTAGAGGCGGCCGCAGGCTTGGCTATGCATGTTCTCACGGGTGACAAAATACAAATTCAACCCCCTTTTAGGAAACCTGTTTACCTTCGGCCCTATCCTTTCCTTTCAATCCTATCTGGTATTAAATCTCCTCGAATCCTCTTTCTTTCCTTCCACCGCTTCCGACTTTTTTGCTCTTTCTCTCTCTCTCTCTCTCTCGCTTCGAAACACTCCATCCACCCTTTTCCCTCCTTCTTCGCTCGTCACGCGCACGCGCCTCTTTGTGGCTACAAAATGGAATTGATGTTCCGCGATGAACGAAGCGAGATACGGGAAAGCGAGCAGGAGAAAGAGAGAGAAAGGAATACGACGATCGCATAAGAATTCCTACCGTGTAAGTAGATAGAGGGAGCTTCTATCGCGGGACTCGCGGTCCGCCTTAAAACAAAGAGTTATAATTAACTCGCGCGACGGATGATGTCACCACCTGCGGATACAGACGCGGGAACAGTGATTAAATCGAAAGGAAACGGAAAAATAAAATTACGCCTCTATCGAATCTATCCATCATTTCGGTGGTGCCGCGCGAAATTTGGGTCACGCTTGGGCGGTGCGCTTACGCTCTATATCAGAAGGGTAGGAAAACTCGTTAAACCCCAGTGTAGCTGACACTTCCGTCGATTTGCTGGCCGTCCCTATCGCGAACAGCGTGCTACCCTGCGCCATCCTTCCTGCGCTTGACAATTCCACTCGGATTCCTGACGTGTATCCGATCGTCCAGGGAACCGACTCGTCGGTATCCGGGGGACTTTGTCCTTTCAAATCTCCCGTGAATTCTCAACCACTTTCGACTCTACTCGACGCGTTTACGTTTATTACGTTATCATTGATTGCTTAACTCCGTCGATTGCTATTTTTCAACGAATAATCTTTTCCACTAAAACGTATACGTACCAATATACATATATATATATATAGAAAATGTTCGAATCGACGGTGATTCCGTTCCAACGAAAACGCTTGTGTTGTTGTTAATTTTTTTTTTTTTTAATTTCTATACTTTAAAAATCACGCTTCGAAGATTCGCGAAGGTTAGAGACGAGAGATTGCAAGATATCGATACGACTTAACCGGATGCTCGATAGTACAGGAGAGGACGGCAAAGAGCGGAAGTTGGTAAACCGCACTGTACACAATCGAGCACGAAGGCTTTGTAGTTTCGCAGTTGGCCGGCCGATTCCCTCTTACGCGTATTTCTCGAGCGCAAAAGCCGGGTTGCACGGCTCGCTTCGTGCCAGGACTGGCTTCGTTCCGCGTGAAGCGTGATTTAATCTAGCGACATGAACGCACGACTCGTCGCCACGGGCATGTACTTACATATACGCGCCACGCTTTAGTTTATACCTACGATCGAGCGAGCAGTGCGTGACCAGTGATCGTGTCAAAGGCGATCTCACACGTGTTGTTGAAACGTGGTAGAGGACGCGCGATCGAATATATAGGCTTACCTTATCTTATTTTCCGATAACGATCAATTATATCGCCATATTTTATCATCGCGAGTAGTATCTTCGAATAAAAAAAAAAAAGAAAAAAAAGATACAAAGAGGTAAAATTTTTATCCAGCTTTTAAACGAAATTTTAAAATATAATGGAAACGTTAAGCAAGGAAACGTGACCACGCCCCCCCTCTATTATCTCAAGATTATATCGGTATGCCAGAAACTTTATCCCCGTCTCCAGTTTTCTCATGAATCGATCTCGCTCGCAACAGAGAATAGATATTACGCGTATATATCTACAGGAATGAATTAATACTAGAGAAAACTGGGGAAGAGTGGGTAGAGAGAGTACGCCGTTCGTCTCGTTGAAAGTTTTCCAAATGAGGGAACAGTTGGGCTCGGTCTAGGATAAAATTGAAATACAAATAACTCTCACTTTGTACCGACGGATCGACAGATATTGCCCTGTCGGTGGAACTATTCGCGGATAAAAATTTCCTCCGGGTTACTCCCCCCGTGAATTTCCATTCGCGCGCTAATGAAGTATTTGCACATCGCGTCCGACACCCTCGTTCGATTCATTTTATACACGGACCTTTCCGCTCTCCTTAAATTTCGCTTCGTTATTCTGGCGAAAATTTATCCAAGCGATCGTCCCACATGGGGGAGGGGAAAAAAAATTAGCGCTCAGAAATGAGAGGTACCTTTTCTCGAATGCATTTACGATTAATTCGATATCCGGGGCGGAAATGTCGTTCGTCAACGCTTCCTTTTACTCGATGGAATAACTTTCGGCCGATCCATCTCTCGAGCGGAAAGTCTTTAATTGCAAAGGATACGTCCGTTCCACCCTTTCATACGACGACTCGAACCACTCTCGAATTTCATCAGAAAGAACTCGACGTCGTTCAATTAATTTTCATTATTAATGGAATTACTCCTGGACTCCCTTAGAGAGAGAGACTCTCTTAAACGCGTTAGCCATCTTTCCACCCCTTAATACCTCCTATTACCCCGAAATCTTTTCCAACTCGCTTTCCCGCGCCTCTCTCTTATTCTCTCGTCAATTTTCACTTCGAAATAACTCTCCCTCCATTCCTCTTCCCCTTCCCGCTAACACACCGACCTCGATCACGCGCGGTCTCGTTAACGCAGCTAACTTTAACCGCTTTAGTACCGCGTAATACCCTATCGAAATTTGCCAAAGTCTTTGCTTGTATATTTCGCCGCCAACTGATCTCGGTCGTTCGAGAGGGACGAGTCACGAAGACTCGAATAAACCTCGAATTTTCGCCCGATTACAAAACGCGATTCTCGAAATCCATGTCTCGCGGATAACCGAGCAGTGTTCCCCGCTTCGTCGAAGGTCTCATCGTCCGTCTCATTCTTCGCGGAACAGAGATTGCCGCGAGGTTCAATTATTCAGTAGTCGGGCGGAATCCTCTTACGCTCGTCCCCGATTTCGAAAGGAATTCATAACAATGTTTACACGGGAAATATAAGACGAAAAGTGAGAATCGAAACACGACATCCACGACGTTTTTACTTTTGTGCTTTCTCGATCTGTGTGAATTTATCTTCGCTTTATTCTTCGCGCGGAAATTCGAAAATCAAGTATAAAACTCGATCCGAGCGAGAACGTTTCGGGGAAAATGATGAACATTTTCGGGCGAGAAAAGCACTGTCGGACAAAACGCGATGAACCTCGTAAAATTATCATCGATACCATGATACGATAAGTTTAACGTTCGTACCTACGAAATTAGTGATCTTACGAGAGAAACGTTGTTCACGCTCGACGTAGATAGTTACGACTCACGTTTGTAAAATGCGAAACATCGAGTGAGCGTGCAACGCAGTTACCGGATCCACGAAGCGCGCAACCTTATTATTACCTCCGTTCGTCGAAGGTTGTACGATCCTCCGACGCTCTTTCAACGATGACCTACAAAATGAATCTTGCAAGAGGAAACGGAGACTTGGTCGAGGGCTTAAACGAATGAAACAAAGTCTATAGAAGTGTACGTGTGTCACTTGAAGCGCGGTCCACTTCTAAATTTTGAATATGTTCGTTGTACGTAATATTGGATTGATAGAAAAGTAATGCCATTTGTAATTATAAATTTATTTATCCATAATCCATAATCGATAACGTTTTTAAATCGTTTGAATTTTATATAAGTATTGCGCAACTGCTATGTAATCTATTGGTAAATGTTTACTTATATTATATTGTTGTAGTTTGAAATTCGATCTTTGATAAATCGTTCATTGATACGTACATTCACTCGCAATATTTATTTCAAAAGTGTAGCGATTAGTTTTCTAGATTGAATAATTGTGTTTATATCTTTTTTAAATTTTTTAAAAATAACATGAACAATTGAGAACATAAAATTGTTTTATCTTACGTGTAACTTATTATAACTATGTTTAATCTATATCATTTCTAAGTTCAGATAAAAATATAATATTTTATGAATATAGAATGTACCATTCTTATAAAATAAATTTATCTTACTGCTTATCTTAACAGAACCAAAAAACAACAAATAACTTTCCCACCAATCAATAGAATCTCATTTTTATTGTTACTTTTTTTTCTCTCTTCTCTCTTTTCTTGATTAACAAGACGAATTCGCATAACATTCCGAGACCGAAGGACGAAACTGTATATGAAAACGAGGTAAATGTTATATTCATAGCAAACAAGTGCGAAAAAACAAGGTAAAAAACGAGACGACACCAAGAATGCGCGTAAAAGCCTTCTCAGGCTTTTTCGTATCATTGTACACCGGAGAATTAACTTCTCGCCGAACGAGACACGAAGAAAGAGAAAATGGAGAAGGAAACTTCACAATTTTCCATCCACGCCACCAATACCCTTATGTAATAATAAACGAGGGAGATTTCGAATATGATGGCAAAACGTTATATTAAAATCATTGCGCCATGTCGACAAAAAATCCCGTAAATTCAGAGGCATTCCCATTCGCTCATTTCCCAATTCTAAACGCTAAATTCACAATCTCCAAATTAATTTTTTATTCTAATATCTGTCATTGTCGATCTTCTAATTTAATTATTGTTTTTTTTATTTTATTTATTTTTTAAAATTTTTTAAATTTAATCGGTTACGTACATAAGCACAATAAATAAATATTTTGAAAATTTTTCATATATATATATATATGTTAAAACAACTTGTTATTTTCAATGAAATTTATATCTATCTTCAAATAATATTCGAAATATCGTACGATCTTATGTACAATTAAGTTAAAAAATTTTCAAAATATTTATATATGATCTGTTCATATAAATTACCGAATATTTCACCGTTCGAATACATTAATATATCTATATATTGCTCGTCTATGATTTCTTAAGTTGAAAATAAAAACTTAAAAAAATTAAGTTACCTGAACAATGAAGTAAAACTGTCTACAAGTTGATTTCCAAATTAACGAAACACTTTCTGAGAAACAATTTCGAGTTGAATTTACGTTGAAAAAATGCTATAGAATAAATGCAATCTCGTATCGATAAATAAGAGATTTACGAACCACAAAACATCTGTCGTAATGTTGCCCTGATGTTCATTATGTTTCAATTGCTTTACAAACATAAATAGATCTGAATAAAAGGACGAGCCTGATGGGGTTGCTTACAAAATTCAACTATTGCGATTCATTCTAACGATTGAATCAGGTACAATCGAGATATCGCTGTTTCTCGACACTATCGATTTCAAACGAATCTATTTTAATGCACAATACTTCACTTTGGTAATCGAAAGATCTCGAAATGTGCCTCTTTCAGCTTGATCGCGAAACTAATTCTTTGGCCATGATCTGTTCAAATTATATGATAAATATTTAGTTATATGAAAATATTTAATACGAAATATATATATATATATATAATATTATTAAAAAATAAACTGTAATTAATCTTATTAAATCAATAGGAATTAAATATTTCGAAATTAAATATTTTCAGTTTCATTCAATAATCCTTATTCCTTTCTTTACCGCACTGTAAAATATTTTTGCTACGAAATTATATTATAATATTCATTGATTTTGTAAACATAATCGAATAGTTATCAGAAGCTCGAATAAACAAGGATTTCGATATCGAAATGTAAATTTCGAGGTAACAAAATAATGATGATGCAAAATATCGATTACATTTTATTTATTTATTAAACAATTATGCAATCGTAAATGGAACTTATCATATTCTACGATACAAATAAAAAATTTATCGATAAAATCGAAAAAAATTCAGAACAAATAGATCAATAATTTTTTCCTATCAAACTTAATAGTTTCGAAAATAATTCCGAATTATATTATAAAACGTAAAAAGCAATAATCTACTTTAAAACTAAATAATGTGACTAGGCTAATGATATATTAAAATTCAAGTGAATTAGGTTAAATTTCACACAGTTAACGAAAAAAAAATTATAGGCCTGTTTCAGCTCAACATCATTGAAACGCAAAAGAATTTGTCATTAAAATGGCGATAAAAAACGATTTCCCTTTAAATTCATACGTATATACCGAAGTTTTCGAAGTAATTAATAGCAGTTTTCTCCCGCGATAGACGTATACCGTTGAATTGCGCAGTAGCGTCGCGTGTGGGCGACCAAATCTAAAGTAGCTAACACGATCGACCGGCATTTCAAACTATGTAACAACATAGAAATGAATTCCACAAAACTCGAAAAATTTAAAATATTCCGCGCGCTCGACTATTAGCAATCATAATATATGCCGGCAAAAAAGCATGTCTATGTATTGTCGATTGAATGAGAACAGAATCAACAGGATATGGTTCGGAAATAGTATATATAGAGATATTTAGATAATGAAGATAATTTCAAAACTTATTATAAAAAGATGAACATTAAGACATACAAATAACAAAAAACCTCTAAAAGAACTATGAAATTATAAAAATATATAAAATGTGTTTATAGAAAACTCACCGGTGCTACGCGACGTGTGAGCTGTGTCAACTGCGCAGTTGACGAGTTAAAATGCTGAGTTCAGGAACGTCGTGCTCGATACCGGTGCCCAAACGATATAATCGGTAATACTAAACGACAAATGCGGCACGTATCGGCGATTTACAGAACAACTTGTGACACTGATTTTAAAATTATTCTTACGTATTTACGATCAAGATATACGGTTCATTTTCTAAACGTATCAATTGGATCATTAGAACGCACGATTTTTTTCAAAACTATCAATTGATAGCTTGCAATAACTTTTTTTCCTTCATTTTTCGTTCATTTAATTCATAATATATTTAATTGTAAATAATACTTTAAACATTTTTATCCAATTAAACAATGAAATGTTTCTACTATACTCTCTTATTATTTTAAATTATTACAATTATGATTGATTAAATAATTGATAAATACCTAATATTTTTAAATTTATTTATTGAATTTTTTTCTGCATTATGATAATATATTTGATAGCAAGTATATGATAAAATATGAAATAAAACTTGACATTGAATTAAAACGTAGTAATGATAAGTTTTACACTTTGATATGATATATCAGAATTTTTTAAATATATATAACAATAAAGTTATCAAATTCAATAATTTAAATATTTTTTTATATAAATATTAATATTAAACTAATATTAAAAAATTTCATAATGTTAATTATATAATATAATGAATTTATATGTTAACGTAAATCACTTGATTTCTTATCGAAAAATAGACTCCAGTATATTCCGTGCCTGAATATCACATGATCATACAAAGATGGTAGTGCCATCTTTTGCCAATTAAAAAAACGAAAACGAAAGACACGTGGCGCGACAGTCGACAAGAATGCGAAAGAACAAAATAGCGACATCGAACGTCAGCTTTACTATATGGATAGCAAGAAGCGCACACAAGCAAACAGCTACCCTTCGGTTCTACTTTCCCCTCCTTCCCCACGACCCCTTGACAAATCCTCGATCCCACAGATCCTGACGTCAAACGAAAGAAACAACGCCCTTTGTCATCAGTTCAAAATTAATAAGTACTGCAAAAAGCCTGACATTTTGTACGCGCGCCCTCTTTGCACAACATGGTGTAATCTGTTTAACGCGCGTAATCTTGTTGCCTGATTTTCATGGCAGTTTGCATCACACGAGCACGTTGTCACTTTATCGTTTCCTCAAATTGTCGACTCACCGTCTCATTTTCAGCGATACACATAGGCTCCAGTTCCATGACTCTCGTAGTTTTACGTCTTTTCGATGTTCCTCAAGCAAATACTTTGTGACACTCTTTGTTAAATCGTGATTGTATTCTATTCTCAATACTTTACAACGGCAACGTGTGTCTGTTTACAAACACTGCAAGGTCACACAGCAGACCCCCAGACCTCTGACTGTCGAGTATTTCGTATTACGTCACGATTACCGATGATAGCGCCACTTACGATGAAGTTATGAAATATTACGAAATTACTGTCGGTAAATAATCAAATCACGGAATTAGTTCACCATATTTTAATACCAAATTCTTATGAAATTTATTATATAATATAAAATTTTGATCTCGAAAAGAAAAAAAAAATCCATTATGTTAGATATTTGTTATACAGAATTTGAAAACGAATCTGTAAAACGAATAAATTCATTAAAAAAGAAAAATCTAAATGTATAAATATCTTCCTCACATTTTTCCTTTATATTAATAATAATAGTTAATATTATTTTTAAAAATAATGGAAAAAATAAGTTTTATATTAAAAATATTAATAATATATATATATATATATATTAATCTATTTTTATGATATTTCTTATTTTTCTTCATTGTGTAATATGGAATAGCATCATATAGTAAATCTATATTATATTTTATTCGTGACCGAATAAGTTTTAAGTTTTCAAAAATTTAAACATTAAAATTTTTGACCATTTTTAAGTATTTACATAGATAATCTTAGAAATATAATCATGTGATTAAAACTATTTTTGATACAAAATGCATTTTTTTTGATCTATTATTTGGTTTTAAAAATCTAAATGATAATATTACGGAGAATTTATAAAATATTATGCAGTATGAACGAAAAAGCTCAATTGGATCCTGAATATAACTGGATTATACGAACTTGCACAAATGCTTTTAACGTATATTTAACTATGCTTCATTTTACATTTTATGATAATACTGTAAATATGCATCCAAATATAACCCGTAAGTAAAAAACATTTTCATATAAAATTTAAAATTCTTATAAAATTCAGATAAAGATTAAGATATAACTTTGAATAAAGTTACAGAAGCTTTATCGTACCCTTTATTCATGATGTTGGTGGACCTTGTGGTATATTCTATATTGCAATAAACATTAAAAATTAAATCTGCTCAAAATATGTATGAACACAAAAAACATTTTTATTATTAGAAGAACAAATGTGCGTTTTAATTATCGTTGTTTACATATGTGCTTTACATTACATACAGTTAAAATTTTAAATTCTATCATATCCATTATCGAAACCATTTCTATATTTGAGTAAATATCAATTATCATAAAAATCATCTCGATAATTTTTATCATAACCTTTCCTAAGAGAATAATATATATTTTTTTTATTATCTTTTTGTCCATGTGAAAAATGTCTATATAATATAATAAACAAATCATTAATTATTAATTATTTGCTACATATTAATGATCTAAGGAATAATATGAAATTACCGATAATCTTTTAAATAAGGTACAACGTAAGGATTTTCTTTATAATAATGTAATGCAGATATAATGTATATATATTATAAAGTGAATATCCAAATGAAGGCACATGATCGTTATTATGATAAATAACTGGATAATATATTTTTTTTTATCAAAATAAGGCCCTTCGTTTTTTAAATAATTTCTTTTATCATCTATGTATCGATCATTATTATACTCTCTAATATGATTATCATAATTATTAAAACTAACAAAAACAATAAAATAATATTTTAATTTATTGTACTATAATTTTATATATTATATATATGTCGATAAATAATTATATTCTTCCGATTTACTTTCATGTTAAAATTGTTAAAAATGATTTTGATGACTAGTACACTTACTTTTTCTTATTGTCATATATTCCGCGTTGTACCTTATCTTTTTCAATATAAGATATGTTATGGGAACTATCCCTAAACGAGTTCTGCAATTTTTGCCCATAATATCTACCATTATTCTTGGACGATCTATGTCCCCCTTCGTCATCGTTGTCCTCGTAAAAACTTGAATTATTTCCTGACTCGACTTTATGGTATTAGTGAAACCGGTCCTGTGATGCCCTTTTTTGTAATATCCATTATTATGTTGTTCAAAAGAATTTTTTTCATGATCGACGACTTCAGATTCTCCTAAACTATGTCGTCCATTGTCGTGTCCTTTACGAGCTGTATCATGATTGCCTTGCTTATGTTCATTAAATCCTAACTGCCCTCTGTTATAAACGGAGTTGCCTTGTTTACTTATCTTCTCCTCATCGAAAATTACATTCTCTGCATTGATCTTTTTTTTATACGATGTCTGCTAAAAGTGTTGTCTGAATTGTTCGTTTTGATTTTTCAGAGCGATTCGATCAAGTACACAAAAACTATATTGAATAAAGAAGAAAAGCACAATATATTAAATAAAAAACATGTCAATAAACAGTTTGTTTCCTTTGGTTTAATCAATTATAATAAATGCAAATGTCTTTGTTTAAGTAAGAGAATTAAATGCATCCTGTATAAGTGAAAAGATCCGTAGGTGCAATGAATAAGCATGAACCTTTGAATTTTTTCGGATTCACGCATTAAGAAATTAACCCATCGATCAATGAAGCGAAACAAATATCTTACGAAATCTATGAATATTGTATAAAAATCACTATTAAATTAATGCGTTTTATTGAAAATTTTCAAGAATAGAAACAATATGTTTCATCTTTTTTTGTTTTCTATTTATTCTGTTTAAAACACTCATTATTTTAGAATTCCTTTAATATGTTAAAACTTACAAATAATACAAAAAAAGCTTGAAATAAATTATTCGTACGTATATCACATAATATTTACAACTTTTAAATGTTGTTGGAGGCACATCTACAATATACTTATCGGACATAGGTAAGGTAAGAAATATATCGATATTGTAAAAAATATTCAAAACTTATATTTTAAGTCGTCTTTGTGGAAATTCTCGAATGAAGAATTATACAAGACGCTTAATCATATTCTAAGTATCATATGGGTAAGATTAGAGGGGAAAAAGGTGTGGTATATAATACAATCACTAATCATCTTCGTGTTCCAAAAATATCGTAGCTCTTTCTAAAACAGTACTTTCACGCACATTCGCTCTTACATTCTGATTTTAAAATCAACAAGTTTAATGAAGTTACATACCAATTATACGAGTTTATAATTTGTAAACGCAATTTAATAATTGTTCTAGCTAAGACTTCTAAAAATAGACAATTAAATATTAAACACATGTTTGACTACTTTTTTTCTTTTTATAAACTGCACGAAATCTACAGTAATTTGCCGTAATATCTGCTATTTTATTTGACAAGCAAATGAGATAATTTGCTTATAAGTCATAAATTAACAATTTGGAAGGCAAAGATTTTCCGAATACATATCAAAAAATATACACACACACACATTACAATTGTTTTTTATTATGATGTCATAAAATCATAATAGCCGTTCGTGCGCAAAAGGAACACCGTTCAAAACATTCTTTATCGCTCTGTGATTTAGGGTGGTTAGATATTTATCATATATTAGATGATATTATGAAAAAATAATTCTTTATTCCATTTCTTATATTCTGGCAGTATGCAAAATTAAGAAAAACACTTCATAACTAAATTTTTTTATAAAACATTGTTAATATGCGATCTATCACATATCAAAGACTTTTAATTATTGTTGGTAGACTTATATTAAAATCGTCAAACAGTAATATGCTTATAATAAAAAAATTTCAGACCACCCCACTCACAGCGATGAATGGACGTTGATTTATTTACAAGTATACGATTAACATACTTCCATAATTTACGCTTACTTTGTACATGCGCATTTTCAAATTACTACGAATGAATATATTTACACAATTTGGCGGTTTGTTAAAATATTTAAAAATTGGTGCGATACAATGTGATCGCGGCACGCTATATTAGTTGCATATGATTTTGGTCGTCCATAATATCGCGACTAATGGAAGAAGTTCTGATCAATTTCACACTAATTTGTTTATCATCAAAAATAATACAGATCTACTGAAAAATCCGCCTATAGATCTCTATGAAATTATTATCTGTTCACTGGCATTTTCATTTTGTTTAACATAATTTACGTCTATAGTGTACACTATATGATAATATTACCATTGTGATTCTTCTTTAGATTTAAGTTTAATGTCTTTTTTTAGATATAAGCGTGAATATTCATCTTGATAAGTAGCACATTGTGTATTCGATTTGTTAGATTTTTGTATATTACTATTAATTGGTGAATTACTCGGTGAGTATTTCATTTCTTGTAATTCTTGCAATTCTTTTAACGATCTCATCACCATTTGAACATCTTTTTCTTGTTCTGACGGTTGTACCGCATTACTTACTAAATCATCTAAAATAAGTCCGGCGTCTTTTCGTTTGTCAGATATTCCCCTTGAAGATGCGTCATCGTTAAAAATTTGACTTAAATAATTAGTAGCAGCAATTGTTTCTTCATTTTGTCTCTGTTCTTGTTCTTCTTTTGTAAGTGATGGTTGCTGCTGTTGCTGTATAGGCACTACATCCGAATTAACATATCCTAATTGTTTATCTAATACCTTTTGATCTTTTTTCTTTTTCTTAACATCATGCGACTTGTGTTTACTTTCAACACATCGCTCTCGTTTTTTATCTCTTTTTTCAGTCTTATTAACCAAATCAATATCTTTATCTTCTAATTTTTTATCATTCTTTATATCAGTATTTTCATTCAATAATCTATGTTTTAGAGATACCGTTTTTGAAAGTGAAGATGATTGATTTGATGTGGAATAATTAGAATGTTGTGATTGCGTACATGAATATGAAGCTTCCTGTCTGTGTACGGAATGATGTCCACTTTGAGGCACTTCATTTGTATTTGGAAGAACATTTGAAGTTTCAGAATAAGCTGTAATAGAAACTACATCCTTTTTATTTTCATTCATTTTCGTAGATGATTTATGAAAATCATTAACTGGTGTAATAGAAAGAGAACTATTAACTAGATCCATTAAATTAATTTTCTCCATTTGATTTTTAATAGGCTTCTGAGCCATTAACTGAGCTGTAGGCACAACAGAAATTTTACCTACACTGGAATTATTAGATATAACTGTTGAATTTTCAT